GGGTTTAGGGGGTTTCGGGTTTTGGGGTTTAGGGTGTAGGGGTTTAGGGGTTTAGGGTTTCGGGTTTTAAGGGTTAGGTGTTTAGGGTTTTATGTTTTGAGCACTTCCTGTTCTTAAGCGTTCCCGTTAAGGGTGTTGTTCATAGGCTGTGCAGGATTGTATACGGTTTTGGGGGTTGTGCTTTAGGGAAATATAGGGACCCGAATAGTTAGGAATCCTTCAAGGATTCTTTACCGATTTCGAGTGTTTTGGTTTAGGGCCCTCAAACTACTCATAAGGGGACGCTGTTACTAATTTAGGCTCTGTCTGGCTCCATCGAGCTTTTGTGTGTTTATGGGGCTTGATTATTGTGTTACTTGTTGTGTTGCATTGCGTTCCTAAGCCCTCCGCCATAGCCGCAATACAGTTGGAGATTTGAAGGCTTATAGTTCCCAACGACGCAAACATCCTCTATGTCGGGGTTACAGCATAAATCTCGACATCCTAAAAGCCTACAGTAGACCCTAACCTAGTTTCGTGCTCAACTGAAAGATCAAGGTAGGCTATAGGTCAGCCAATGGACCTCAATAAAGACCGTCCGGTAACCTTACCGCTAACTCTAGGGTGTGCATGTGTTGAAGTGTTGTCATAGTTAGGCTTTGCATTTTTGAATTCCTGCGTTCCGGCAGCGGAACTGAAAGAAGCAAACATAGGAAAAGGAACGCGTGCGATGTACCAAGCACTATTTATCTCCATTAGGTCAAGTTAGAGTACGTGCTTGAATTAAGCAGAGCGCTGCAAGAAGACGCTAAGGTCTAAGAACCTGGATAAAGATAAACCTGTAATAACCTGCAAATCTTGTGAAGGAAAGAACATTATAAACCGTGACACGACCTTAAACCCTAGTCCTTACACTTCTATCAGCAACCCTATATCCTAGCTACCCCATACTCAAAGACCAGACCTAAACCTTGATAATCAAATCCCAAACCCTAAGCCCTAAACTCCACTTTTCCTGAGCTTTTCAAAGAAGTCCCGTGTAAGGCCTAATTATCCCTAAACCCTAAACCCTGATTCTGCTACTAAAGCCCAAACCCTAAGAAAGGCTTGAACCCGAACCCGAAACTCGAAACCCTAAGACCCTAAACTCCCTACTGGCTACCCATAGGCCCCAGAGTAATTCCTTTTTGGGATTACCTTATAGGATTCTAAATATGAACCCCAAAAATGAATTACTATGGGGCCTATGGCTAAACTCCAAGAGAGGCACCGGGGAGCTGCCCTACCTTTGCGAAGTCTTCCACCAGCGCTTGGCCGAGATTTTCAGCAACGTGCAGCTGCCACAACTCAGCCGCTTCCTCAGTTTCTTCGCAGTAGAGTAGGTAACCTTTAACTTTTTTTTAGGTACCATAATGTCTATCTAATCCGGTGTTTTAGGAATTTTTGGGTTCTTCATAGTGGGTGTATAAAGCACTTTGTAAGGTTTTACAAGGTGTGTAGAGGAGGTTGTGTATGAATACGTAGGGTTTTGCAAGCTTCTTCAATGATGGATTTTGTATGTCTTCTACACATGATGCAAAGATTGTGCAGGCGCTTTGCAGGGATGTCTATGGGTTGTGTAGAGGGTGGAAGGGGTATCTAGAGTTTTGTGCGTTGTTGTAATATAGAAGCCTACTTAGCTACCAAGATTGTTGCTTAAAGCTTCCTTATTACTCATGTACTATAAACGGGCCCGAAACTTCCAAGAATTAACAACCCTAAACCCCAAACCCTTAAGGCCCCTACAGTAGGAGCTTTGTTGGATCCCTGAGGTGTGGGGTTGCTCGTTTTGTTTGCAGTTTTTTGGTGGGTTTCAGCTTCGGCTTAAGATAAAGGCCTTGTTGATTCAATAGGGGTTCCTTTAAAGGGATCCATAAGAGTCTATAGTAGTTTCAGGTTAACTTAATCCTAGGTTTTATTAGGGAGACCCCTTCAAGGGACCCTTCTTAACCCTACTTATGGCTCTCTTAAGCGGGACGTCATTGAGAGGGTCTGTGTTCCCAAGCATCCCCCCTAATCCTAACTCCTACATAAGGGCCTTAGTAATTAGAATAGGGTTTTGGGGCTTCCTTATTACAATTTGTAGTATAATGGACCCTAAAACCCTATTCTAATTATTAAGGCCCCTACGGTACATAGACAAGCCGCGTTGGAAAGCTTTTCGAATAACCCTGCAGGTGGGTAGTGCACCAAACTAGGGTTCCTGCTTAGGTCCTTCCAAAAAGCAAGGCACCCCTCTGAAGAGGACCGGAAAAGGGGCGCTAATTTGAGAACAACCCTAAACCAAAAAACCCTAACCCCTAAACCCCCCCGTAAACCCTAAACCCTAAACCGTAAACCGTAAACCACAAAGTACCAAGGTAGCCTTGGGGTGGCGGTGGCCACGTTGAACTACTGCTGCTCAGGGGCTTGGCTAACGGGGTGCAAGGTCATCGACGCCCGGCTGAGAAGGAGGTCTCCTCTGCGTTTAGGGCTTAGGGTTTGGAGGTCTAGGGTTTAGGGGTTTAGGGGTTTAGGGTTTAGGGGTTTAGGGTTTAGGGTGTTAAATGGAGATGGCAAGGTTCAGATGTTGTGTTTTGGGGTGGAGGGGTGAGGCCATTGTAAGGCTGTTTTGCTCAGGGGGCTCTGGCAGTCAGGGGACGTCGGGTAGTGTCACACAGCCGTTTCAACTTGCGCAGAAGTCTTGGGTCTGCATAAGCTTTGCATCTCGATTGGACATGGCTCGGATTGACGACAGTTGGATACAGTTGGGCGAATCCCATCCACGACGACAAGGAGGGTCCTAACAGCGGCCAGGACCATGATGATGATAAGGATCATGACGATGATGATGATGATGATCATCATGCCGATAATGACAGTTATGACATTGATGATGTTGTTGTTGATGATGAGGATGATGCCGGCAAACGATGGACCAAGACGATGCTGGCACCGCCGGCGATGATAGTCTTCAGTGTTAATGTCATCCTTGCCAGAACTTAGACCTTTGCCGATCTTCATGCAGGCTACGCGTGTTGCTCGCAATAACTCTGTTATGTTTCTTCTATCTGCTTGGATTACCAGTGTTCTCAGCAGTGGTTGTGGCCTTGCATGTCTACGGCCTCCATCCACATCCTCCTTCGCCTCCCTGGCACTCGTCGCTTGCTTCTGCCCATCCGTCTTCCCGTGTCCTCCTGGCCAGTCTAGTGGTGATGGTCGTTGTCGAGGTAGTAGTTGTGATGTTGGCGACAACGTCCGTGGTCGTCGGAGGAGCATAAGCCCCAAACGCTACGCCCTAAACCCTAAACCCTAAACCCTCAAGCCCTAGACCCTAAACCCTTAAAAGAAACCCTAAACCCTAAACAGCTACACCCTAAACCCTAAACCCTAAACCCCTAAACCCCACAACAAGCCCTGCAGATAAGTCAGACGAGGAGCGCCGATTCCGTCGAGAAGACTCGGGTCTCTGCTTCTCCGTGGCTTGGACACAACTTAGGTCGTTTTGTTCAGGGTTTAGGGTTTAGGAACCCCTAAACCCTAAACCCTAAACCCTAAACCCTAAACCCCTAAAAAGACTAAACCCTAAACCCTAAACCCTAAACCGAAGAGCCGAGGTGCTGGCCACCTGCTCGCGCCTGGGCTCGGTGCTGACACGGCTCTGCCTCGGCCTCGCACCTCGGAGATGAGATCAGGGGCTGTTAGGGTGTAAGGTTTCAGAGTTTTAGGGTTTAGGGTTTAGGGTTTAGGGTTTAGGGGGGGTTTCTGGGGGTTTGGGGGATTTTTGGGTTTTTGGGATCAAGGTTTAGCGATTAGGGTTTGGGGTTTTAGGGAGTTTGGGGAGCTCAGGGCTTTAAGAAGGTATGTAGGGTTCAAGGTTTACGCGCTTGAAAAGGGTGCACAGGATACTCTAAGGGCTACTCTGCTCGTAGTGTTTACCGGGGTTTATAACTACAAGAGTTGCTAGGGATACCGCAAAGCTTATCATAACGGGCCCCATATTCTTTCCACCCCCCAACATAGAAGTGGTCCGTTCTGGGTCGTGCGTGATGGTTCCAGGATGCTGCGGCCTTTCCAGCTCCTTCGGCCCATGTTAATCTCGAGCGCGCGAGATACGACTTGGTTAAAACTCTTCCGTTGGAAAACGAACACCTAAGGCGCAGTGTCTGCCCGGTTGAATTCGCCAACGGTGTGGAGCACGGCAACCACATCCTGTCGCCTTGCGGGCGAATCCGGAGAGGTTGCAAATCAACCAGACGAATCGTAGTCACGCCTGGGAGGATGCGATCTTGTCAGACGACTCTCGCTCGGCGCTGCTTCGCTGCAGGAAAACCGGCAAGCTGCTTCTGAACTTGAAGCACGTTGCAGGTGTCTACAAGATCGAGACATGACGCAGTCAAGAACACCCACTAGAACTGCACGATGTCTATCCTGCAGTCAAGAACATCCGCTACAACTGCACAATGTTTATTTTGTTTGGTTACAGTTCCGTGTTTGGTACTGCTTGATGGTGACAAAATGCACGGAAAGCAACTGCTGCTTGACAGGTGGAGGCCAAAAATGGTGCCAAGATGCCGCATCAGCCGGGGAATGCCGGCATGCCACAGATGGGCATGGGCACCTCCCAACAAAGAAGTTCTATGTTGACATCATGCTTGCAAATCTGTGGCTGTACCGGTGCAAGCAGCATCGGTTCTGGGTGCGAAGACAGTAGAAGATGCACGGAGTGGATATGTGCGAATGCGTTGTCATGCCAGTGATTGATATGGGTACGCACTGGCAGCGATTCCAACTTCAGCTGGTAAGGACATCTCGAGAGCATCGAAAGCTTTCGTGTTGGCATTGAGGTTGCCGTTGTTTTAACGAGGCTTCATTTCTGGCTGGCATGCTGTGCAACTCTTCAGATTCTGGTATTCCTGAGTGTTCTGTGGAGCTCCCTATTTGTATATATATGATGGCGAGCCTTTGAATTACTGTTACCTGGTTTCTGCATTTGTTTCCTTGATGACGCATGACCCTGCGCCGCTGTATACGACGATTCAGATCTTGAGCAATGATGTCACAGTTTGGTAGCTAGTCCATGGTGTTGCAGCCCTGTTCGTGAAATGGCTCGGCAGAGCTGAGGTTTGGACATCACGGGCATGACTGCCACTGATGAAGCTCCCCAGCAGACATCGGGATCAAAGGAACTTGAGGTCTCGTTCTGGCCAAAACAGGTACAGATCTGAAGCTCCGGGGCTCAACTATTACCCGCTGTGGGTGATAGCTACGAGAACAACACACAATGGCTGCATTTTTCGAAATTTTTGAGGTTCCGGCAGGCGGATGCTTGGCAGCACGCAAAGTCTGTCTAGCTGTCAGCTTTGAGGTTTGAGGAGGGCTAGACTCATGAATGACAATGCTACACGGACCTTTTGCAAACAATGGGGCGAAGATGACTGCGACGCGGATGGCGTGGCCTTAGCCGTATACGACAGCGACGATGTCTCCGCAGATGGATTGTTACTGTCCCGGGTTGATCATTCCATCGCCGTTGATGACATCGACCTGGCGTGGGTTTTCCGTGACAACTTTTGACGATTTGTTCCGAGCCGGCTTGATTCGCAGGACTCGTGCGCAACCACGAACAGCGAGGACGATTGCTACTCACATGGCGTATGTCTCCAGGCTGGAGACATGGACGTCAGCAACGTCACGGAGGAAGGCCGTACCAAGTAAATTTGTGCTCTAGTGCCTCTGTGTGGACCATGCTTGATAATGCTCTACAAGAAGGAGATCGGACTTCGGCCGGAGTCCACTTTGTGAACTGCTCGTAGTGAGCCGTCACAACAACAACCACAACAACAACAAGCGCCATGGTTGGGGAAGATGGAGCATGTCCTTGGAGGGGACAGGGTTAAAACAAAGGACAAGAAGGAGATCTGATTTCGGCTGGAGTCCACTTTGTGAACTGCTCGTAGTGAGCCGTTCAAGATTGTCAGATGCTGTAGCGGTGTGCCATTCCCGCTTCGTTTCGCGTAAATTCTTGGTGAGCTGTAACCAGAACAGAGAACAGACGAAGCGTGCAGTTGCCGGGGCGACATAAACAGGTTTCGGGTGGGAATGAATGGCAGGGGTGGAAAAAGTATGCACCGGCGTTTAAAAAAACAGGTTTAGGGGTGGGAATGAGTGCTTAAGGGGTGGACAAAGTAGGCTCGGGGGATTAAAAATATGAAGGGCGTCGAAAAAATATGTTCCGGGGTCGCAAAAAGGTGGCCCCATCATAACGGTTGCTCCAAAGGCAATTATAAGCGGGTAGAACAAAGGTTACTAACGATTGCCATGCGAGGGGCTTTTAGGAGTTTTTGAGGTTTAGGGTTTTGAGCTTTAGGGTCGTTTAGGGTGTCGATGGAGTTTTGGCTTTGGAGTTTAGGGGTTTGGGGGGTGTTTAGGGTTTGTTTTGGGTCTGGTGGGGTTTGGGGCTGCGGTGTTGTATCTCAGGTTTGGAGGGTCGAGGAGTGTGCGAATTGCGGGTTTTCGCAAGCCCAAGCCTCGAAACTTTCCACCTGAAGTGCGAAAGCCTTAAAACTTGGACCATTGTTCGCCACCATCCGGAAAACGTTCGGGCACTCTGCATTCTCCGGAACCGATCAAAGCCCTGGCAATCCTCCAGGTGCTGCTGCTGCTGCCCTGGCGTCAAATCGCCTACGGTGCAGCTGCTGTCATGCTGGCTTCCTGGTTCCTAGTGGTCCAGGCAACGAGACATGGTATGTGCACCCTTGATATGATACCCTAAACTGTAACTACTTAAACAATAAATGTAATTCCCAAACCATGACAACAGCATCCAACCCATGCCCCCTTGCCTCCAGGTGCTGCTGAAAGGTGACACAGTCCGCGAAAAGGACGCGGACGGCAAACCAAAGTTGCAGGTGGAACCGAACTCTGTACTCACCATCTCTCCGTGGTTTAGAGTTCAGTTTTACGGTGTAAGGTTTTTGTTGGGTTTTATAAGTTTGGGGTTGATGCTCTGGGTTCTGAACCCAAACCGGAAGCTTTGATCTCCTTTCCAGGTGGAACCGACTACGCCACGTATGGCGAAATCGGGGACGCCCAAATTTCTCAAGACCGGGCAAAGAACCGGCAAAGCCGAGGCTGCCGAGGCCTCGTCTTGGCGGTTTTGAAGGGGTTTCGGGATAAGGTTTTGGTCATGTAGGCGTTGGGGTTTCGGGAGGGTTCGGGCGGTGACTTCCTAGGAATCAATGTGGGTGGGAGTATTGCATGAAGGTTCAGTATCCTGCCTGCCACCCGGTGTCCATGCACTCTTTCTCTGGATCTCCAATGGCCTGCTTTGGCCAGTAGAAGCGCAAGCATTCTGATCTTCTAGTCAAGGCTCGGCGTATTGCAAGCGCATACCAGGGTCTCAGACAGAAGCTGGACCTCTTGCAAGGACGCCTAAACGCAAAATCCTCGCGAAACCCTTGGCCGCAAATCCCAACCCGCCATCCCCCTCTAAAAAAGCCT